CTCAGGGAAAACCAGGTTACTGAAACTGCCTTGATATGCTGGTAAGGAATTGGTTTATGCAGTTATTTCAGTTCTTTTCCTCTCCTCTCAGTAGATGGTGTGTTATCTTGGGAGACTGCTGTAAAATGTGCATAGCTCTCGGTGGCAAGTGTTTTTCATCCTAAGGTAAAAAATAGTCTGAATGGGGTGCCTGCCTTCCTGTGAGGGTCATGTTCATGGAGCGGGATGTGGAACCCTGAGTTCCTTCACACAGAACAAAAATCTGAGTTTTATTCTCACTTGATAGAACTCTGTCTTCTACATGTCTGAAGTCTCTCCTTAAAAGTCCTGCAAACAGGACTGCTTATGATTTTCTTCCAACAATGGCAATTGGGTCTAAAATGTTGATTGACTCATAGAAAATTATTGTGTGCTTTTATGTTAATGCTGGCCTGTAATTGGACCTGTTTTTGGGCAAATTCGGTCATTGCTTGCTTGTCTTTCCTTTCTTTTTGTACCATTTCCAATGCCGATATGACCAAAACCCCCAAATCTTTTCTTCTAAAGGAGACACTACCCCACGCTTTAACCTATATTTAAAACTCTGACTACACCTAAACCATGATCTGCACTGTATTTATATTTATTTCTTGTGGGAACTGCAGTCAGTTCAGATGTTTCTCCTCGTTTTTCAAGGGTAAAGACTTTTTCCAACAAGTCAAGACGGGGCTGAACCAGTTCCTTTCCTTCCAGGTCTCTGGCTGTTCCTGTCTTACTCCCCCTGCCTTCCTTTCCTCACACTGCCTATATAGTATCACTGCTTTCTTAGCTACATACATTATTTAACAATCTGAGGAATGAAAATGCTATAATAGAGCGTCTCAGCATTCAGCCGGACCACAGAGACATGTTATTTTTACCAATCTCATTCGCCTCATTCATATGGCTAAATAATATATGTGCTAGCAGTGCACACACTATACTGGATGCAGAGGGATGCAGATGGGAGTCATCAGTATGCTGAGAGTGTCATTAGGATGACACCATCCTCTGACAGATTGTGGCTTTCGGACGAGTTTCACTGTGCAGCGCTTGCTGTGAATATGAGTTAGAGTGGAATGGAGACGTGGTGCGAGAATCTGATTTCACACCCTGTCTCAACTTCACCAACCCCAGCCTATTAATTTCATCTCTTCATCCTGTATGATTGTGGTTGAAACCTTGAGAAAACAACTTCAGGTGTTGCTTTTACCACAGATTTCTGTGCTGCTTTTTGATAGGATCGATGTTTAGTAAAGTAAACAGCAACGGTCCCTGACAGCACAGAAATCCCTCACTGCAGGGGGTTGGTTCTTGCTTCTGTTGCAGCAGGTCAAGGGAATTTCTTTTTATACAATTTCTCATGAATAATGTAGTATAAAGCGCTTTATAGGGAAATGGAAATTCTGCTCCTTACAATGTTGAACCAATTGGCACCACAAGGCTCAGTGATAGACTAGGTACTGTATGCAGAGGCTACTGTCCTCGACACTGTTGTCCCCAGTTCAGTTTGTGGCCATTGATCATTTGCAACATGTCTTCCCCTTCTTCTTGCTCAGCTTCTATTGAATAAAGGCAACTAAAGGCACAAAAACATGAACCAAAAATAGTTAAAAGCAACCAAAAAACAGTCAAGACTGTTAAAAATTAACAATCTGAGGAGTAAAAAAAGCTAATCTTTTTTAAATGTTATTTTAGGTTAATAAAGGAGCTATATGTCAGGTTTTTAGGTAGTTTGTTCTACTGATTCCTCAGAGAGTTAGGGAGCACAATCACCATCAAGTGGCTGAAATACACAAGTACTAGCTGCCTATTTTAAAATATATATTTTACACATAGTGGTCTTTGTACTACCGCAGACGCTAACTGTCCTCAGTCTTCCTTATCTCCACTCTTTGGGAATCAGCCAATCAGAGCCACAGAAAACGAATGCTGCTTCTGAATTGCTTATTTTGCGAACATCAGCCAGTAGAATGTGAAGCCATTTCAGATTCCAAAGCTGCACTTTCTTTGGAATATTTCAGATATAAAAATCTGCACATAATTGGATTATGCGGAATTAATTAGAAGTTACGTTCCACAGAGAAATCTGCGAAAACTGAACCGTGAATAGCCAGAGGTGAACTGTAGACATGATTTCAACATCCAACTAGTCATAGACTTCATTTTGCTATGAGCCAGTAATACATCTACTCATAGCCACAATTTCAACATAAGTATTTATTTTCAATTTAGATCAAGCAGAACAGTCTTGTGTGGAAGAGGCCTGACTTCACATTCAAAAGCTGTGAGCTTATTCAGTTAAATATAATCTTTTTTTTACTTTTAACTACAAATTATCACTAGACATTTAGATTTTCACAACTGGGAGCTTCTATGTATGTGACATATTTTGGAAAATCTTAGTTGGCGATTTCACAAAAGCATAGCATTCAGCACTTCAACTTTTAATGAACTCTGTGAGGCAGTGAGGCATTTATTCAGGAAGACTAGCCTCTGCTGTAAACAAACAGGTGTGACTCATGTCATGAGCAAGAAGTGTTTCCTTAGCAAATTTGCAAAGATAATTTTGAAAAAGAGTCATACGCAACCTTTTTGTCAAAAAACCTGTTTGCAAAACTGTTGTGTTTTCTTGAAACAAATTTTGTTTTGTAATTCCAATTTGTTCATCTTTATGTTCAATGGAAGAGCAGCTACTGTGGAGAGAAAAAAATGTTTTTTTTTCCTTGCGTGGGCAAATAATAGAAAGAGACCTTTATGAATGGAAAGAAACACTCTCCTCTGGTGATGTTAATTAAACATTTTACACCTCACATCAAGAAGCTTCCTTTGTATCAGGGACCATTTTGGAGTTTGTTGCCGTAGGAAAGTATTAGATGCAGCAAGAATTGTAATTTCCAAGCAGAACTCACTGAAAGAATGTGGCACTGACAGAACGTCCCTGAGGCAGATGATGAATGGTTCAATGCAGAGGGAAACCAAAAGTCGCCACAATAACAAAACATGATATGGTCAAGTGTTCCGCATTTATATATCACATGCATAAGATCATTTCACTTGATTCACAGTTCAGTTAGAAGAGTGCAGGACGTCCAATCAAAAGGATGCGAGTTCAAAACATTCTGCTTTTACCCGTCTTTTTTGTGCAGGGCTAAAACAAGTCTACATTCAGATTTTATTACAAAGACATAAAACAGCAATTATTTACAGTGTTTAGTCAAGAAATCCTTACGTCGACATAGTTCAGAAGTATCAGCAACAAAATGTCTCTGGGGAGATGAAGTGGTTTGTTCACTGCGGACATCTTGGTGCAGCTTTACAATAAAAAAGAAGCTGACTGTAACTGTAACAGTAATGGATGTCCATGCCTCATTAACTAATCCGTTAACAACTCACCTCAGCTCTGGCTTCCTAATGAGTCTAAATAAAGACAAAGTGTGATAGTGACACAGGCTGTTTGCGGGCCAGATAACAGGTCGACGAGAATACCCTGAGGCAACAGCCATCGCTCCTGTTGCCAGGGCACGGCATTAGCTGGCTAAGCTAACCACACTGAATTTAATTCAGTCTGCAGAAAAGTGAAGAAAAATTACATCAACTAGACTTTACATCTCTGGACTTGAATGAATAAAGATTATTCAAGTTACTGTTACAAAGACTCCTGACAATAGTCACAGATCTGATGATCAGGTTAAGAACGCTGATAAAAAAAAAGTAAATTAGGGAGAGCTGCAGTGCAGTGGACTCCACAATCAAAGACGTCAAGGCATTGCTTTTCAGAACTTATAATAATCAAAGCAAATTAATCAAATTCACTGAACATTTTACGCACATCATCAATGTTTTCTTGGTTGTTGTGGGGAAACAAGAAACTACTCCAGGTGTGTGATTTAATGCTGAGGGAAGGCGTTTCATCCAACTGTTGCGCAGTCAGAGATCGTATTCCACATGGTTTGGTAGATATTTGAGCTACATTCGCCTTTTCTTCATGTCAAAGCAGTCTGCCCCTTCCTTTCTGGCCTCTGACATCAGCAAGGTGTTTCCATTCTCACACCTGCTGCTTTTTCAGAGCTTTTCTCTGTAAACCGACAGAGAGAGAGAGAGTTGTGGATAAAACAATCCCAGTAGATATAGAGACTCCGAAATACTCCAACCAGCAACCATGTCACTTAAGGTCAATTTGATGCCAGCTGCATCTAGATGCCTAAATGCTTTAAATTGCTGTCAGTTTGGTTTAATTGCTGTTTCTGTTGACCAGTAATTAACAAGACATACCTAATAAAGTGGCCAGTGAGTGTGTTGTTTAACTTGAAAGGTTGTTTAGCTGATAACTGAAGTGAAGCATCTGAGACGGCTGCTAGCGTCTGACGTTATGAGGCATGATGGTGCTGCTCCTCAAACGTGTGATCAGGAGACAGCAGCATGCTTGACCTTGTATGGTTCTCATTTTTCCCACCCCCGTTTGAGACCCATTTTTGTGTATCGTTCCAGAGACGCCATTAGAAAGTTTGCTGCAATATTCGACGCATGTTCCCAGGTTCACGCTTCCTCGTGTGTGTTGTGCAGGTTTGCATTTTGTTAATTATGATCATTTCCTTTGGTTTTTTTTGTTGTTGTTTTTTTCAATTATTACTTGCTGCAGCAGGTGGGAGGTGTTCATCACCAGTGTCGTGGCTCTTTACTGTGGAATGAAGCCATTTATAGTAAACACTGTAATTAACCCAGCGGTGCGTAAAAAAAAAGCTTCACATCTTTCATTTTAATGGTCAGGAGCATCTTTGTTTCATCAAACGCTTTTATTTTCACAAACGGAGGTGGAAAAGTTTAGATGTTAAGAGTCAGTCAAAAACACCGATGGTACAACTCTCATCGAGCAAACTGACGTTTTGTCTGAAGTTACGTGAAACTGATATATTTGACGATTCATAGAAGACAATTGATACCAGCAATTTACACGCAGACCCATTTTGTGTGAGTTAGAATAACCAAGATTACTTCTATATGATAAAAGCCACAATAATGAGAAAACTAATATTTCAGAGATTTAAGGTCTCTCTAGATAATGAGGGAAAGACCAGACGATTATATCATGACTTTGGCAACTTCTGATAGATTCTCTGGCCCTTTGAGTTATGTGTGGATGTATTTTAAGATCTCACCTGGGAAAGTCGAAAGAAATCATCCAAGATATCAGGAAGAGAATTGTGGAGCTGCTGCAGCAGCCTGGTTCCAGATGCTTAAAGGTGACACATTCATCTGTTCACACCGGTGCACTTCATAAAATAGATGGCTTCATGTGGAAAGAACATTACATGGAAATGTTGAAGCAATATATAAAGACATCAGGCAGGAAGTTGAAGTTTCCGGGTCTTCCAGACGAACAGTGGCTGTCAGAATCGAGACAAAATGGCTAAAAACTGGCTTGAAAGCCAGTGAATTGGCGTGGCCGTCACAAAATCACTTCTTCAGTTGTTTGGAGAATTTAGATCTGAAAAGACATGTGTGTGGAAACCTTACTTGGTTCCACCAATTCTGCCAGGAGGAATGGACCATCACTCCAGTCGACCTTTGAGATAAAGACTAAAAAACAATTCTACTAGGTATTAAAGAATTGTCTGTAAAAACTTCATGTACTTTTGGTTTAATTTCTCTTGAACAGTGTTCACGCTCGTTATTTTTGGCACTTAGCAGATCTAAAGAGAAGAGAAGTTTGGGTTGATTCAAACAGTGCCATGTGTCAGTGTCTTTAACCATTTTGTGTTGCTAAAAGCCTGTGTGTGATCTGCACTAATGAGGAAAATTAAAATAACAGTCATGATATTCTGTATATGTATATCTGTTGACAGGTTTGAAAAATCCCACAACCACCAGAAAGATGCCGATGATGGGAAATGAAGTTCAGATTTCTTTTTTGCAATATAATTCAGCCAAACCTGAGTCAAGCTGCTCTGCAGCAGCAAGAACTTGCAAATATTTAATCAGTGGTTCTCTGGCTTTTGTTGATTTTCAGTGTCAGATCAGATGTCCCTTTTGAGGAAGATTTATCCCAGAAAGAATGGGACAGAAAAATCCAATTACAATGAATCTGTCAGGAGCAAAAACTGACTAGACTTAATATAAATGCTGAGACTTCCAGCCTCTCCCTCCTTCCCTCACAGCTGCCAGATAACTTACAGATAGCACTTTCTTTTTTCACTGGAAACCCAGACAAACCCTTACTTCTGTAAGTCCTCCCTTCTTTTCTGTTTATGTTGGGCTTAATGCGGCCTTATAGATCAAACACCAAGCCCTCCTGCCAAATGGAGGACGTCTGCATATCCAGTGTTCATAATCACATTTAAAGCAGACAAGTTTATAGGGAGGCTGGGATAGAGAGAAAAATGTGCCTGATGTACTTTGAGCACAGCCATAAATTAGTTGATATGTATTTCTTTGCCGGCGCACAATCAGCCGCGTGTGTTTTCAACTCAAAGCCTTTCAAGGAGAATCTCTGTAAATAATAATAATTAGAATAAAGTGCTGTTGGCCACGCTGATTAAGCTAAAGTTAAGTACAGCTGCGTGCCTAATGAAGTTGACATGGCGCTAATGCACACGAGGAAGTTCCATTTATTTTAGTTGTCTGCGCTGTAACAAGTTTAATCATGCCATGCTTAATCAAGTAATTTTATTTATCAGCCTGATTCAGAAGATGTGAGCTGATGCAGAGATGAAGCTCTGACATGGTATTTTTGTTGCTGTTGTTGTTATGGTGACAGATTGTTGTTGTTTGGCAACAATCTGTTCGCCTAAATGTCTCAGTTCATCAAACAAGTTTTAACATTTGACAAAAAAAAATATGTTGTCATGCTAAACAGCTCTTGATCCTGTTTGTTAAAGTGGTTGAATTGTGCATCTTTATTAAACTTTATATCTTGTCATAATGTTATTCTCTTCAACACAAACCTGGAGTGTTGCTGTCATATTGATAATAACCAGTGATTATTAGAAATTGGATTTTTTTTTTTTTAATTGAGATTTTTTTGATAGAAAACTGAAAATAACATGCGTCAGTTGATTCCAATTTTAAATCAAAATCTACCAAGAACTCAGAATAATTTTGAGCTTAACTCTATGTATGGTTGAAACCAGTGTTTATTGTAGCTACAAGCTTTGTAATTATTTAAAAATGATTGCTGAGAGACTGATCTGTATTGATTTTTACTGTCTTGTTTCGATCTTTCTAATATTTTTGTTGTATTCTTTTCTTTTAACTCTGGCCTTTCAAAAAATGAGTAGTGCCAAATGTAATACTGCTATATGTGTTGCTACATGGAGAGAGTGGGGGGGTGGAGGTGGGTGGGTTTTATTTTTAGAGGGGGGGAAAAAGATAAGAAAAAATGCTGTACATTAGATGTGGATTTTGTTGGATATGCATCCTGAATAAATATATATATACAAAAAAAAAAATGATTGCTTTTACTGATTGCAGAATTGCTTTGTCGCAAATCAATCCTCAAATTGCAGGAAAATAACTTTTTTTTTTTTTTCACAAGACTGACAGTTCTTCGACTCCGCTGTAAACATCTGTCACATGGTGCTGCTCATAAAACTCTAATTCTGTTTATCATTCAACATGCCTGTTGCTGCAAATTAGGATGAGACAAAGAATGAGAGAGAACAACTGAGCATCTAAACAAAACTGAATATAAGAAAGTTTCTGTCACAAAGGATGTTATATCTTTTAGGTGACATTTCAAAGGATAGATAATAACTGCACACTGTGAAAAAGGATTATATAATTGTTTTTGCTCTTTAAAAAAAACTAAATTTAGAGCAGTTTTTCTCAGCTCTTTAGGTTTTCAATCATATAAAGTCCTTTAAAGTGATTTCTATTTTCTGTGTGATCTTTCTGAAAGGTTAGCAGGATGCAGACTTTGAGAGAAGTGCAGTAAGGTGTTTCTTACAATAGAGTTTGGAGGTTCATGTGGGTGTCAGGGTGGCATGGTGATTAGAGAGACCTCCCCTCATCTTAAAAGCCTGCCTGAGCGCTGTTGGGTCTATGATGGCTGCTGTGAGGCAGACAATGCTTTGACCTTCCAGTAGAGATGGGTGACTGAACAGAAGAACTTCTCCTGCAGATCAGTGTCACAGAAAAGAGTGCTTATTATCAGCAGCCTGGCTGATTCCCCAGCACGACTCTGGCAGAGACTTCACAAAGCAAAAACAAGAAGCTCTGGGGGGAAATGGCCTGCATTCGATGGCATGAAACCACAAATTCTTAAAAATACTCACGAAATTCACAAAGTACCAGAATAGCACAAACGCCAGCGATCGCAGTCAGCCAATTATTCTGGAAGGAATTGACTCATAATGTTGCTTCTGTGTCACAGTGGAAAGTTTAAAATCAGACAAATTCCAAGAAAGATGCACTTAGTAAATTCAAAAAAGCAGTTTTCAAATAAATTCTTTAAAGTCCGGACTTCAATCCAATTGAGATGCTGTGATGTAACCCTGGACAAGGTGACATGGCTAATAGGGCCCTGTTTGGTTGTATAGTAAAATAAATCCTCTTTCAAAAATTGTGTTTTGTTTTTACTTGGATTATCTTTTTCTGATATTAAAACTGGAGATGAATTTTTAATGCATTAACAAAAATTAATGACATAGATTTTAATGCATTAGAAATGTTAACTCAGTTAATTGCCTTTTTTTTCTTTTTTTTCATGTACAGAAAGTCTCAAGCCGGAACCTTGATTGTGTTTCTGGTACAACCATAAATTTAATGAACAAGTAAAAACAACAATCCGTGACAAAGTCGCTTCTTTTTGCATCAAAAACCGATCTGATTGGCCGGTGGAAAAGTTGCGTTAAAGTTGGGCTAAAACAAGTTGGCCTATCAGCGAAGCTGTTCAAGCCTAATAGCACTTCAATGCTAAACATGTAGCAGCAGCACAGACCATAATGCTAATCTCAGCGTCCACATTTCTATAGAAGTTGCATGAATGATCAGGAGTTTCTGAGACACTGGAACGCTGGATGGATACAAAAATGTTTATTTGATCAACAATTTAGAAGCAAAAAAAAAAAATGTCTAGAATTGAAAATGTTGGTTATTTTGTCTACAGTTTGATTAAAATGACACAACCTTCGATCAACCGATTGCAAAATTTCTTATCGAGTCCCACCACTAATTAAAATATGTCTAATCTAAAAAATACAAATATTTTTTAAAAAAAAAGCAGAAGTGTTGTAAAGGGAAAAATACTATTTCATTACTCTGTATGATTTCTTGCTCTTGCCCTGGTGTGTGTTGTCTCACACTGTGGCCTGTTTGATGTTTGCTCTCGTCTTTCACTCAGATTACAAATTCGCCGGGGGAGCTGTGCCCATGTTGAGAGCCGGATTAAAGTATCCGTATCGCAGCTGAAGGATAGCCAAATTACAGCTGTGCATGAGTGATAGACGGGGTCTCAGCAGTGAGAATGGTTTGTTTTCGTGGGAATCATCCTCCTCTGCCGTCAGGTTCAGCGGAGGTTGCAGGAACGTTCTGGAGCCAGCTGCTAGATGCACCCTTGTCCGGTGACGAGTCTAAATCCTTACAAGTGAAAGTTCTTTTGTATGCAGAGAAGCTGTTAGCTGAAACAGTGCATGTCCACAAATGGACTGGCTCAAGAGGATTTAATTAACAAGACACTCTCAATTGTATAATGGAGTCTTATCCAGTCCGAGGCAGCCAGTGAGGAATCCTCATCAATTATGGATTCAGAACCTTCTGTTTCTTAATATCTGTTCTGACTCATTTCATTATAGCCAAGCATGTAAACGACTTTGAGCGAGTACCGGCGTCTATCTGTGTGGATGGTGCTGGAAGTGCTCATCAGCAGGAGAAAGCTCTTCTTTTTAGGGACTGTGTGCGGAGCTGGCCTGAGGCTGGGAAGCAATTGCCGAAGATTCAAGTTGAAGTTGAGAGTCTGTCGGTCTGTCGGTGTGTGTGGATCCTGCTGAACCGAGTCCCCACAAAGGGCTTCGTTTGATGCGGGGGATTATAAAAGCTGAAGTAGCTTTAGCTTGGATACAAGCCGAGAGCCACATCAGCAGTCTCTCTGTTAGCCACTCATCATGGCTTCCTTATTTTAAAACTGCACAGTTTAGCATATTGAAACATCTACATGACACTGTTTCGACCTGTTGGCTAAGATGGTTTCTCTTTGTTAAAATGCTTCTTTTTTTTCTTAAAATACATCACTTTCCACCAGAGCTGGTGCTAAGCTTCTTGTGAGGTAAGCAGCTGCTTAGGACCCCCAACAAAACCAAGGTGGCAAGATGATATGTATGTTTAAATGAACATTACATAATACAGGTCAAATGCTATTACACATGGGAAAATAATTTCAGGATTATTGTAGACGTAACAAGAAGAAACCGAAGCCTGATCTGTTTGTTAAACTGGTGTGCAAACCAAAGTGTGCACAACACAAAAGACTCTCACAACAGAGAGTCCAGTAGCTAAGAGGGGAAGATCCAGCTGATTGATTGGTTAATCTAAATGTGGACAAAACATCCAGTGGTTATTTTTACCATCTGAAAAAGAAAAAAAAAGTTTTGGGATAAAATTCATTCAAAAGGTTTTGAGCTGTAGGATTTCTGTTCTTCATTGAGGTAATCATCTGTAAAAATTCAACAAGTAATTTTAGTTGAAACAGTTTTTATGATTTGATCCTTTTTAACACATATGTGATATGTTTGTGCATCTTTTAGTCAGTTCGGCTCCAGCCATTGGCTAGCTCTGTCTGCGCTAGTATTTTAACATAAGAATAATAGTTTTTAATTATACCCAAATTAACTTGGTTTAAAAAGCGTTAAGTGGACTGCAGGAAACATTGTGGAGAATATGTATAGACTCTAACTGAAATATTGCCATGCAAACCAGTCATTTGTATAGATATAGGACATTAACAATTTTTTTTTCAGACTTGTTTGTACCTTGGTGAACCTAACATTTGTAAGTTGTAAACTTGAGTTCCCATCTGAGCTGAGCAGCAGAGGAAGTTAAAAGGTGTGAGGTTTTGGTTAACAAGCCCTTTTGCTTTTAGTCTGTCTGCAAAACATAGTGCAAGCAGCAGAACCCTGGAGAAACGAGCAGTACCCCGTCTCCACAGTAAGTCTGCACAAACTGTTCTCTGCTGCTTTGATTTGGGGATTATCCTGAATCGCACTTTCCAATCTGAAACTTCAAAAATCCTGTAAACAAAACCCCAAATCAATAAAATACAGGAAACATCAGCTAAGAAAGGATGAAATTTGATTCTCCTGCTTCTGTTTCGTCTGGATGGTGGTTCTGCTGTGAAGCGTCTGGTGATTGAGATGCTGTAAGTGGACCAGTGCAGTAGGTGTGATATTGGTTTCTTTGGCATTAGCATGCTGGAGAGCGCCCTGAAGCTCCGCAGTGATTATCAGCTCGATGCGATGCAAGGCCAGCCTGGGGTCAAACAACGAGAGAGGCTGGGGGGGGACAGCGGTTCAGACCTTCTGGCCTCATTAGTTAATTAGAACACTGAGTGATAATTCCAGTCTAACTAGCTTCTTAGCATTCAACAACACTTACGAAGTGCCCAGTCAAATAAACATGTAGTTTGAAAGTTGAGCAGAGATAAACTTTCATTTACCAAAAATAGAAGTGAGAAGATGGAAGTTGTTTCCATGTGTAAACAGTGTGCTTTATCCCTCATTAATTCTTATTTTATTCTAAGAATGTTGTACTCTTTGTGGTGATGCTCTGATCATTGTCTCTGCTGTGGTTTCTGTCTCATCCCCACCTCTCCTCCACCTCTTGAAGCAGATCACATTTCCTATTTTCTGACTTATTGCCTGGCCTCGGTTGCATTTCTGTTAATTACAACGTACCAAGGGATTTGACCTCTTGACAGAAAGACCCCTTAAAAAGTTAATTGGTTGGAGCTGAAGCATTTTCAGGTCAGACCTGGTTCAAATTGCTTTGAAATGCATTTCATGATCTGCTCCTGTGAAGATGTGGATTTCTTTGTGTGCGACTTCTGAAACAACAAACACACATTTGTGACTTAATTAGCCTTAATTAGCTAAATTTGTCAGCATTGTCTCAGTGAAGTAACTCATTTTAGTTTATTACACAATGTCCACTTGGAGATATCTCTATACCATTTATGACTGAACACTGTAATGTTAGTGCCGCTAGTCTGGCATAATATTATGATGTCCAACTGAATGGGTCAAAGCAGTCCTGACCCATCAAAGCCACAGAATCCACTACAGCCCTTAAGGTGGTATCTGGCGCCAACATATTAGCAGTAGAGCCTTTGAGTCCAGTAACGTGCAAGCAAGAGCCGTCATGGATCAGAGTAGTTTTTCCACCACATTCCATTGATGTGCAATTGGACCACAATCTCGGACATGTGGAAGCTAAGTCACCACCTCAAACTGCTTGCTGTGCTTCTCGAACCATTCGAGGAATACTTTTGCTCTGTGGTTTTTCTATTGTGCTGAAAGAGGCCACAGCCATCAGGCAGAGGGTGAATGTAGACTGTGATAAATTATTGGTGAATGCGAAGCTAGCACCCACATAGATGATGGGGTCAATGGTTTCCCAGCAGATCATTGCCTAAGCCGTCCCATAATGCATCCTGTTTATCAGGAGAGAGACGCATATCAGATGTGAAAGAAGACTTTATTCAGTGAACCAGGCCACCTTATTCAATTGATCCATCGTCTAGTTCTGGCCAATGGAGCAATGAGAGGGTCAGCTTTGGCTTCCTGACTTGTCTATATCTTGATACCTTTTTTGTCTAATGTTTATTCTTGAGCGATCAGAGCTGCAGTTGTTTTGTTTTGAATTGGATGACACGGGTCAGACCCGAGCCTTGGCCTTCCCTCTGTTTCTAACTCTACTGTGTTTGGTCCCTCTTTAAATCTTTACCCTCTTCATGTTTCTTGCTTCTGAAACATCAATTTTGAGGGAAAATTATTTACTTGCTGCCCAATTGATGAGATGGCAAAATGAGAGTCAGTACTAATCATTTCTGGTAGACATGATCCAATGACTTTGTGGTGAATGTTTCTGTAAAGAGCAAGAAGTGACTGAAGAAATTAAATCAGGGTTGTGGTTAAAATGATGAACTCTGTACTGCTGCATCCCAGGTGCACTAAGGAGAGTTTTCAAAGGTCCTTCCTTCTAGCAGCTGCACAAATTTATAATCATCAATGCTCCCAAACAAGCTTGATGTGAGTTTGAAGCTGTCATTTGTAGTTTTTCTTTTCTTGTAGTCTGTTGCTGTTTGCGCACAAGTGATCCTACTCATAAACATATTTCTTTGAATCAGAGCAGTTATGCTGTTTTTCGTAACAGCACAGTATTTCTTTCTAATGGTCTAAGTTTTCCTTTATTATGCAGCCTCTGATTTTCATTTTC